AGGCTCGCGCAGCACTTTCCATTCGCTCTCGAGCTCAGGCAGCCATGTGATGAAGTTCTGCTCTCTCCTCACACCTGCTCATCCTGTGGATGGAATAAGATGCTTTCAAACGACGATGCCTCGTGCATCTCCAGCACACTAGTAGTGGATGTGATTTCTAATCGAGGATGTTCGTTTATCAGTTTCACATCCAGATGAGCGGTTCTTCGGTGCCGTGGGGAGTCCAAGGAGAATGTAAGTAGCCTACTACTAATTGTGCAAAAATGGGCCACGTGAAATCTGTAGCTTTAATCTCCTGTAAAATTATTGCATTCTCATAAAAGGAAAAAAAATATGCTTTTGGTCTGTATTCTCTCGGGTGTCCTTTTGAGAAATTTGAGAAATCAACCAATTCAAAATGTTTTATTATTTTCGAACATAATGTTTTTGCTTATGAAATAATAGGCTTATTTGATGTCATTTGTAAAAAATATGACCAAAAAGCAAACGCCTTTTTAAAACACGCATGGCTAAGTGAAAGACTTGATACTTTATTAACAAAGCATAACAGATCAATAAGTGCTAATTGCCCTCTGTGTGACGTCACGCCGAGCACCCTAAGTGGTTAATTGCTTCAGGGTGGTTAAATTAAGAGCTGCTGTAAAAGATAACAGATAAAATGGTATTTTGTTTTAAAATTATATGTTGCTAAATATTTAATTTATTTTAAGAACGTGCTTTCGTTCTGAAGCAAATACAGCTAAACCTTTGTTCTACTGTAATTTGCATCCTTGAGAGGAGAAGTGATGCTTAATTTATTTCATTCAGCTGCTTTATTTTCTCTCATTTAGTATTTAGGGAAATCTTTCATACGGGCAATTTAGGCATTTATGTTTTCTAATGGAGTATGAAAACATTTATAAATGTCTGTCTGTATGTGTCGATGATGTGTGGACTGAGATTAAATATGTACAAAGAGAAAAATGTATTTAGAAATATTTACATACAGATATTGCTTTAATTAGTGGTGAAATAGTGGTTAGATAATTTTGTGCATCCTTCCTTCCAGTTACAATATTTTATTTATCGTTATTTTTTTATGCTCGTATTATTTACTATTTGAGGTTGACGAGTGAACTGGAATCAGCTGCTGCTGCTAAAGCGAATCTAATAAGGCAAACTGAAGAACGAAATGTCTGATATCGAAATGTTTACAGGCCTGTTTACATTGCAATAGAACAGTGAATTATTTTTGAAATTTAAGAGACACGTATTCTAGTCATAATGATTAATCATAATTCATAATTACAGTGCAGAGCCTTAAAAGCATCCCAAGGATACCGCACAAGCTCCTTCTGAAAACCTTGTTGAACAGACAAACTAGAAGTTTCACTTTTGTGTCTAAACTGAACCATTGGAACGAAAACGATGAGGTCTATAATAGTATCATAAATTAATGGGCAATATTTACCATCTTTAAATATTGCATTTATTACCTTTATGCGTACAAATATTTATCTACTACTAAAAAGAGTAGTTTAGAATATTATATAACATATATAAATGTTAGAAAAGCAGAAGAATTGACATTTTTAAATATGTTGGGTCACATCATGTAAGCTACCTTCTTTTTCTTTTTCTTTTTTTACTCCAAGCCCTGGGTAATTTCTGATCCTGGTCTAAGTTCATAATTGCACTGCAGAAAAGGGACAAGCGCGTCGCCGCGTGCGTCTCCAAATGGACATTTAAAGGTTTGGACCTCACGAGGTTTGAGCGCATTTTGGGCACTAGAGATGGAGCCCATTGAGTGCGTCAGTCCTGTCATCCGTGAGCACGTCATCCGTGTGCCATAAGGACGTCATGATGTTACCCCGAGCAAGAGGAGCGAAAATGCCTCCAGATCAAACCTGCGCGCATTTTACGCATGATACGAGAGTGATATTTGAAGCCCAAACCCAAGCACGCATGTGTTTACTCTCCAGCTCTCGCTCTGTGCCCGATGCTGTCTTTATGCCTTGCGTTTTTTGCTGCGTGCCCGTTTATTCTCTTGCCTGGATACGCAGGATTTCATGCGTACCGCACTGTAAATCCAGCCAAGCCGAGCTCCGACTGGAATAAAAGCATCCTCGCTGCTATGGATGGATGTAGCAGGCTCGCGTCTTGTAGGTTTACCTAAATCGTTCGAGTCAATAATTAAGAAGTTCAACAATTACGCGCGGGAGCGAAGTTGGATGGTATCGACCTCATTTACAGGAACTTTCTGTTTTTGGGGGGTTTTTCTTGCGTGCAACTAATTACTCGCATCTGCTGACTTGGAGTAATTGGGGCAAATGGGGTTTTTTTGCACTTGTTGTGGTGTGACACATCACGTTGGAGGCGTGTTGTTATCTTTGGTTATCTAGCTGTATGAGTGTGCTGGTCGTCATAAAGCTAGATAACCGAAAGTAAGAACCGCTTCTATCTGCATCTCAACGTGGCGCATTAAATATATCGCTGAAATATAGGTATTAGATGTATTGTTGCGCGTGCAAACGCTTCAGCATGGTTTGTTTGTTATATAGGAATACAATGAAAGTTTTTGGATGAAAGGATGAATGCCAAGCGCATAGGGGACAAAGGCGTAAGTTTGTTGTAGTTGTCAGCTCATTGGAACCCACGTGCGTCCGAGTATCGTTGACTCTGGACTTATTCAAGCTCCTCAAATGAAATAATTGGGACATAATGGGATGGAGGAAGGAATTGGCATAGAAACTCATCCTTAATTGATGCGGTCGAGCGCACGTGGGGGAGATGATGTGAACGCCCGTGGACCCCCATTCCCACGCTCGAGGGCAAGTGGGCAATGTCTTGTCTGGGGCAGAATATGACAGACAGCCCTGGGAGGGGGGGCCCAAGTGCACCCTGCTCATCTGCATCTCTGTGGAGGGTGGAACAGCAGAGATGGAGTGAATGGAGGATGCTGGAGAGTGTGTGACGGGAATGTGGAACGGGATGCTGTACTTACACATCCACACACGAATCAACGGGCGACTCGTAAACTGTCCACGACTAGGCCGATGTAGAGGCCCCAAGAGCTGACAACTGATTTAGAGTCTCTCTCTCACACATCATTAAGCAGCTGCCTGTACATTAGGAATAATGTTACCATGTTTTTCTTTCACTTTCAGTTGACTTTCTTTCTTTCTTTCTTTCTTTCTTTCTTTCTTTCTTTCTTTCTTTCTTTCTTTCTTTTTCTTAAGATATTTTCTATCATCGAAACCTAAACATAACCCCTGCTTTTATATTAATTTAATATAATTTATTATTTTCATTGGCATTTAGTCTAGTTAATACTACAGAAATATTAGCAATTTTCATAGAAAAATTTCATCAAAAATTGAATATATTGGAATGGAATGGAGTATATTAGATTTTTTAAATAACGTTTCACACAGCCATCTTACCATATAAGGTGGGGGGAAATCATATTTTAATATTTAAAAAATATATAATTTTTTTTTTTTTTAGAAATAAAAGGTTTGAATTACCTTATAGTTTTTGGAGTATATTAAATTGAACAAAGTGATACATATACCTATATTCAATAATATGTTTTTAGCAAGTATGAATTATTTATAGTTTTTGGAGAAAATGTATATGAAATATATTTTAAAATTATGTTTTATAATTAAAATGAATGAATCACTTCATCATTCATAATTAATGTAGAAAGGGGAATTCACAGAATTTCCAGTGCAAACCATCACATTTATTTGGATTTTATTAAAAAAGTTATTTTTTGTTTGTGTTATCGTAGTGTTTTCTGCTAAATTAATTAATTCATTAATTTTTAAATTTTAATAAAAATATTGAATTAGACAAATTCCTTATGTGCCAGTGCAACCCTTCTGATAGAACATATAGTCATTGGGGTTTCTGGGTGCTGTGTAATGAATTTGACATTGTTTCACATTATATCTGTAGCTGTAATGTGTATTTTAGCATATGGAATCAGTTTTGATGGTCTGCTTGAGCTTGAATTTGACCATGAAGCACATGCTGACCTCTGAACTTTGATTCCTTTGGGACAGAAGACTTCAGAGGTCAGACGGGTCACCACTTGAGGTCACACCGAGGACTCGAGCTAAAAAACAAACTATAACTTGGGGGAAAAGAAACCAATGTATTGCCAGAGTGTTCAGCTGTTTGCTTAACAAGAAAATAAAAAGGAAACGGACCACTTTGGTTAGTCAGAACATTTGCCTGAACAAAATATATACGATTTCAAAGAAATTATCTGAAATATAACATCCAAATCATTCATCAGATCACACAGATTACATTCTATTTTTTCAATTGATACCATATTTTAGGTAACACTTTACAATAAGGTTCATTAGTTAACATTAGTTAACTACTTTAGTTAACATGAACTATGCATGTACAATACTTCTACAGCATTTATTAATCCTAGCTAATGTTAATTTTAACATTTACTAATGCATTATTAAAATCAAAAGTTGTGCTTGTTAACATTAGTTAATGCACTGTGAATTAACATGAACTAACTATGAACAACTGTATTTTCATTAACTAACATTAACAAAGATGAATAAATACTGTAATAAATGTATTGTTCATTGTTTGTTCATGTTAGTTAATACATTAACTAGCATTAACTAATGGAACCTTATTGTAAAGTGTTACCTTATTTTATTTATTTATCATTATTCATCATTATATGTTTTGGGGTGAGGAGGACATCAAATGACTTGTTAAATAATATTTCACTGAAAAAATGTAATATAATCACCAAAATTATAGCACTTTTTATTTGAATGAATGAATGAATGATGCATTTATATAGCGCTTTATTGTGTATTGCTGTACAACCAAAGCGCTTTTACAATCATGTTGGGGGGTCTCTCCTCAACCACCACCAAGTGTGCCGCATCCACCTGGATATATCAACACCTGAGCTAAATAAAGAAACCATAAATCATTTATTAGTAAAAGAGAGAGAGAGAGAGATCACAAGAATATCTGCTAATCATCCTGCAGTTATGATGTGCCCACCCACTTTTGGCTAATCTGTCATGTGTGATGAGCTCTTGAGCTGATTGGGGTTTCCATGGAGATGATGAGGCCAGCTGACTGTATGAGCTGGAGGTGCCAGTGTGTCTATAGCTGCAATAAGTGTAACGAGAATCACCTTGTGTTACTGTGCTTTAGTCACAGATATATTACTATCTTAGATCTTCTGAGAGCAATTTATAATGAGAACATAATCTGTCATCAACACTGAAGGATATTAATACTGATCCATAGCAGTTGTTATTAAGTTCAGCTGTATTTCACAGCTAAAACAAGCTGATTTTCTTGAATGAATGGGCTACAAATATACTGAGAAATTCCCAATGCTGATATCCTGTGATTGTGTTTACATCTCTGATTTATAACAAATCTTCTAATATTTTCGACAACAGCTGATAGCGCAGTCCGCAAATGACTTATATATACTGCTAATTTGCTGCGAGACTCTGCGATTTTGATGGAGAGACATGAGGAGCCACTTTTCCTTCATTTGAGGGCAAACACACAGATGCATTGATAGCAAGACCAAATAAAACAGAATGAAGTGTGGAATTATTTTTCGCATGAATTCTTTGGATTATAAAAATATTACAAAACTATCAAGATACATTTCTGTATTCTGACAAAACCAAAATTAATTTGATAATCAAATATTAAAATAAAGCTTTTTTTTCGACTGCAGGAAAAGCAATCAAAGCACTGATTTGTGTGATGTTGAAAAGACATAATCTGAAAATGATATTACATACAGTACTTCCCTTGATTAACTGTAAGCGGTTCATGGGCATCTCCAAACACGTCATTGTTATAGTACATTGATACCAGAGAGGACTTTTGATCACTTTTAGAGTCACATCAGTGGCTTGAGCGTGAACAGATTTAAATTTTCCTTTCTGACTACAATTAAATACTATACATTAAAAGTTATTGCATAAAATGGCATTAAAAGTTGCCTGGTGTGGTGTAAATAACATGTAGCTCGACCAGTAGGTCATGGGTTTGATTCCCCAGGTGTGCATGAACTGAAAAAAATGTATTGTTTGAATGCAATTTAAGTTGGTTTGGATAAAAATGTATGGAAAATGCAAATCTAGACATTATATGTACTTCTTAATATGTGACATTCAGCTCACCATTATACAGAGTCTCGATGGAGACCACATGGATGAAGACTTTGTATTTCTGCTTTTCTAAAGTGAAAACAAGTATGATTTCTTTAGCTTAAAAATGTGTTTTATATTTCAGCCTAAATTCATTTTAAGTGCATAAATATCAGAACAGTGCACAAACTTTCCATGTGCACATTTTAAACATGTTCAACATTTCATAGTACAGATACCAGAGATCACTTTTAGAGTCATAGGTGCCATTGATACTCATGCACTATAAAAAACATTTCATAGTACATTGATACCAGAGAGGACTTTTGATCACTTTTAGAGTCACATCAGTGGCTTGAGCGTGAACAGATTTAAATTTTCCTTTCTGACTACAATTAAATACTATACATTAAAAGTTATTGCATAAAATGGCATTAAAAGTTGCCTGGTGTGGTGTAAATAACATGTAGCTCGACCAGTAGGTCATGGGTTTGATTCCCCAGGTGTGCATGAACTGAAAAAAATGTATTGTTTGAATGCAATTTAAGTTGGTTTGGATAAAAATGTATGGAAAATGCAAATCTAGACATTATATGTACTTCTTAATATGTGACATTCAGCTCACCATTATAGAGAGTCTCGATGGAGACCACATGGATGAAGACGTTGTAGTTCTGCTTTTCTAAAGTGAAAACAAGTATGAGTTCTTTAGCTTAAAAATTTGTTTTATATTTCAGCCTAAATTCATTTTAAGTGCATAAATATCAGAACAGTGCACAAACTTTCCATGTGCACATTTTAAACATGTTCAACATTTCATAGTACAGATACCAGAGATCACTTTTAGAGTCACATCAGTGTGAATAGATTTAGCTAGTGGCCTTTGTTCTTTCTTTTCAACTGCAATTAAATAATGTCCATTCAAAGTGATTGCATAAATTGGCATTAAAAATAGCCTGTATGGCGTAAATAAAAATGTAGCCCAACCAGTAGGTCATGGGTTCGATTCCCCAGGAATACATAAACTGACAGAATGTGTTGTTTGAATCCAATTTAAGTTGCTTTAGATAAAAATGTATGGCAAATGTAAATCTAGACATTATATCTGTATGAGATACTGAGCTCACCATTATGTAGTAAAGCTAACAGAATAGTAAGTGCCTTTATTGTGGGTGTTATGTGAAATCTCTGTGTTTCTCTGTGTGTGTTAGAGGCAGCTGGAGCTCGGAGTCGCCCGCAGGAGGAAGTGGAGGCAGTGCTGCCTCATGAGGCTGATGCAACATGAGGTGAGTGGAGAGCCAGAGGCCAGAAAAAGGGATGTGAACATCCTCTGCGGACCATTCATAGACGCATGCACATGTGCGCGATTGCTCAACATGCTCGTAGCACATCTGAGATTTGTTTTCCCAGTGCATACAAATCCAAAAGCACAAAGATATGCATGCAAATGACCAAAAACATGAGTGGAAAAATAAACATAACGTGGAAAGAGTGGTTGAGTAGGGGTTAAAGGTGGGAGACACAAGCTCATTGGCTGAAATTATTATTTTAATGATATGGTGCAGTGTTAATGCCAATGATGTGTTCGAAAAAAGATTTTGTTGCACTGCAAAAATGACTTTGGTTAGAAGAAATGTTTATCGAGCCAGAAGACTCAACAATCACTATGTGTGTGTGTGTGTGTGTGTGTGTGTCTGAATCAGGGTGGTTTAGAAAACCAGGCCAAAGGCAACATTAAATCCATGACCTATTTCTTCAAATCAAGTCGGTTGAATTGGACTGTTACATTAGACTCCCATTGACGTTCTCTGTGATAGCAGACGCTAATGATGTGATATTTAGATTATAGTTACGAAACGGTGGGTCTGCATGAAGCTGAAAGCGTTTGTGTGTGTGTGTGTGTGTTTGCACAGAAATAGGGTTAATAATAGAATAAAACGGCATGCAAATATCAATAAGCAACAACAAAACAACCACAAATAAATAAATTCATATTTTTTCTGCAGCTAATTTATTGATTGTTGCTAAACATGCACCGCTGTGTAAATATTAGCAGTCCAGCTTTCATCAAAATCTTCCTATCCAACCGTAAATGTATATTTTTGTGTGTGAGGTGGATTTGCACAGGCTTCATCTTTTTTTTTTTTTTTTTTCCATGGTTCCCACCCAGGGAACAAAAGGCATGTGCATAATAAACTCATGCAAATGCATGCAAATTGCAAAGCCAAAATAGGGGTATGGACTTGGTGCTTTCCTTTGTGATGCAATCATCCCCCTCACTGTGTACTTAAAGTGCTGGGTTAAGCAGGAGACAAAATGCTTTGAATGGACCAGAAAAGAGAACAAAAAAGAAAAACAGGTGTCTTTTCCTATGCGCTAATGTTTTTATGGGAAAAAAAAGAAAAATACAGAACAAGGAAGAAACATTAAATTATCCATCTTTGTGGAAAAATATTTTGCTAATTTAAAGAAAAAATTACCCACACAAGCTGTACAAGAAAATGTATATATTTATATTAGGATTGTTAACTATAATAACCCTGATATAAATTTATTTTCTTGTACATCTTGTGTATGTGAATTTTTTTTCTTTAAATTAGCACACATTTATAACAATTTTTCCCATAAAGATAGATAATTTATTAGTTAACTAAAACTGAAACTAAACAAAAAAAATTTAAATAATAATAATTACTAATAAATAAATATTGACAGAAATAAGATAATAAAGAACTTTTTATTAAAACTAGTTGCCAAGGCAACATGTCTCATTTTAATTTAGTTTAACTTGATGTACTAAAATAACTCGAATTAAAACTGAAAAACAATTACAGTATATAGACAAAAACACAACAAAATTACTAAAACTTTAACTAAAATGAAAGTAAAAAATAGAAAATTAAAAATATTCAATATTTTTTAAATAAAAAATAGAAAAATATTCAATTAATATTCAAAATATGAATTAAAACTATAACAGTATCTCAATGTTATTAACATAACACTGATTTATATATATATTTTTTTATTTTTATTAATATTTTTATATATTTGTATGTATTTATTAAAAAAAATAAACAATTCATTCTTAGACCAGAGTTTTGTTTTAAAATAAGAGGCACAAAATGCTTTGTTTAGGCCGCATGTTCTATATGTTTATCGGCACGTCTGTCCTTTGGCACATTAAAAGTGGGGTTTCTTACCCCAGACGAGAGGTGCTTCTCTCTCAGACACAATATGGCGAGATGTACACAGGCCCAGCGTGCAGACAGACGCCTCACAAGCTTCTTTTAATGCGTGTCGACATTAACATTCTTGCATGTCTAATGCCGGGATCGCAGCAGACACACGGTGTCCGGAGAGCGTGTGAATGGGTTCCGTTATAGACAGCACCATCTTAATGATTTATTAATCTGCGTGGGCCTCATCTGAATATTGGAGCCTGGATGCTGAGCAGCTCTGCTGGGCAGATGGGCCGACTGCAGACGTTCAGCGCAGTGTGTGTGTGTGTGTGTGTGTGCGCATGTCGCAGTGCTGACGGCCATAGAAACACACACTGGAGAGCTGCACGTTATTTCTAAAGGCAACAGACCAGGCTCTGAAATAAATGTTTTTTTATTTTTTTAATTCAGTTCATAGTGAATGTTTTCAGTGCTATTGTTAATCAATTGACACATTAATGAATTGCAGTGTTGTTTTGAGTAGATTGATAAGCTGATATCATGCAATATGCATGAGAAATTAAACTGAAACTGTTTTAGATGCATTGAGTTTTAGCCCAACAGATCTCATGTTTTATTTTGCTCTGTGTTAAATGCATTTTGCACAAAGTTTGAAGGCTGTTTCATACGGTATGTGGAGTGATGATGTGGAGGAGGAGTGTGTGAAGCTGGACTTACATTTGCATGCTCTATAATTCCAGGATTACTTTAAACCCATTTTACACAGGGATTTACATCTGAAATGTGTTGTGTGAAAGTTTGTATCAAAATCATTGATAACACATGGCTGCATGAATATATGTACAAGTGTAAGCGAATTGGAAACCATTTTGTGTATGTTTTGCTATAGTATAGCTATAACATGTCTTGTTTGATTTGATGATATAAACTTCCACAGCAATTTCCATTGTTGTAATGTATGCTACGGAATTCAGTATTCAAATATACTTTTTCAAAAGTATTGGGTCAGTAATAAAAAAAATATTTAAAAAATATTTTATTCAGCAAGGATGCATTAAAAGAAATTTATAATGCTACACATTTTATATCAAATAAATGCTGTTCTTTTAAACTGTCTATATTTAAGAATTCAGAGTGTTGTGTGAAAGTTTGTATCAAAATCATTGATAACACATGGCTGCATGAATATATGTACAAGTGTAAGCGAATTGGAAACCATTTTGTGTATGTTTTGCTATAGTATAGCTATAACATGTCTTGTTTGATTTGATGATATAAACTTCCACAGCAATTTCCATTGTTGTAATGTATGCTACGGAATTCAGTATTCAAATATACTTTTTCAAAAGTATTGGGTCAGTAATAAAAAAAATATTTAAAAAATATTTTATTCAGCAAGGATGCATTAAAAGAAATTTATAATGCTACACATTTTATATCAAATAAATGCTGTTCTTTTAAACTGTCTATATTTAAGAATTCTGATTTTTTTTTTATCACAATAAAGTAAAGCAGAACAACTTGTTCAACACTGATAATGATAAAAATGCAGCAAATCAGCATATTAGAATGATTTCTGAAGAATCATGGGACTTTAAAAAATTGGAAGAATTAAAAAAAATAATATTCCACAATTTTACTATTTTTACTGTATATATAAATCTTACTGACCCCAAACTTTTGAACGGTATCATGCATTTAAATGCCATGCACTTGAATGATTTATATGGCAATGCAGCATATCTTTTGCATTGGCAAACAGCAGTTTTACAAGCTTATATAATCACTGAAAGGGTCTGAACTATATTTAATGCATGAGGACGTAGTCAAACCTTTGTTAAATTGATAGATATGTAATACTTCCTTATATTAGGCTGCTCATATTAGCAAGAAAAATGATGACTACCGAGCATATTAATGCATAGTTGTCATTGCGTTGGTAATATATTTGTGTAAAATTTGATAAGTAATGCAATGTGTAAACAAACACACAAATGCAAATGTGACAGGTCAAGCCATTTTCAGCTTTTAAACACTCTGCTAAACATATATTAGATAACTAAGAAGCATTTTTCACTTGATAGTCTCAGAAAACCTTTTACACTCCACAAATAAAATGTTACAGTATGTGCAAAGGATGTTTCAAAACCACGTTTTGAAGTACAGAGGCCTTATTTGAATGCTAAAATAATTTTGAGATGCTTTTTAAAAAAAATTTTTTTTTACAATACTTAAGTTCGAGTCCCTACTGGTCTTTTTCCAGACAGTTTTCATTCCTCACTTATCAGTGTCTCTCTGTTGAAGTGAGTGGCGATTAAGCAGCGATATTTCAGCCTTACGAGAGACGCTGCTCTCTCTCGGGTCCCATGATGGAGTTCTGTGCTAAGAGTGTCGATGGAGAGAAAAAGTGAAGGAGGGGAGGACAAATTGGAGGGGGCTTACGATGGCCCAGTCAAAGGGGGCCATTGTGCTGGGGCGAGGAGCAGAGTTAATCAGGAGACCCAACAGTAATCAACGGTAGAGTTTGGGTCGGACAACTGCTTGGGTAAACATCCATTGTTCTTGGGCTGAGGTACCAAACAATGACAGCATTGTCCCCGGATCTCTCATTAGGGTGTGCTGGGGGTTACGAGCTCTCGGCTCGGGCTGTTAAGAGCTTCGGAAGCGGATGGGAACCAGAGGGGTAAAGCCGAGCGGAGGGGGAGAGGAACAGGACTCTCACAGTCCCTCTGCCACAAAACCTTTTGGCCATGGGCCGCACAAGCCGCAGGAAAGAGAGAAAGGCCAAGCTTGTCATGACATCTTCACATCAAAATCTCACGGAAGGCTCTTGTTGGAGGGGGGAGTGGGGGGGGGGGGTTCACAACAGGAGAGAATGACATGAAAATCAATTAGAAAGGGAGTTATGGTGATCTGTAACCAATATCAATAAAATCCAAATGGTGTCTGCGCGAAAAACATCCTATTTTAATTTTGTTGCTGGTGAAAATGCTTATTAAAGCAATAAACTGTGTGGGGCTCTTAATGTAATAATAATATATTTTTTAAAAACTTTAAAATATTGTATATTCAATAAATTATAAAATGTATCAATAATAAAACCACAATAAACTGCTAATTAAACATAGAGCTTCACCGTTTTTTTTTTGTCAGAAATGAACAAATGTACACTAAAAATGTGTCTTCCAAGCTGTGTTTTTGCCTCACCCGATTCATTATGGTAAGCCTACAATAAAACTAATTATTTAGAAATGTCAGGGTTGAGAATTTACCTAGTTCTGTCATTTGTCCGTGCTTGTTTACATCATGTCCGTAAATGAATAAAAAAAGTTTTTTGTTGGAAATGAACAAAATGTAATTGATGAGCGAGTACACTAAAAATATGTCTACCAAACGGTGTTTTTGCCTCACCCTGATTGATCATGGTAAGCCTACAATAAGCCTAAAGGCCTAATCATTTTTTATAGACGTCAGGTCAGATTTGCCCGGTAATTGCCTACTTCCGTCTGCTTCCGTCTGACCAAAAAGAAAAAAGGTCCGGTTGTTATATATAGGCTAGTTATATCACCTGTAACTAACGGTACACAGGTACCTACACACGCAGAAGCACGTACACGTAATTTCTTAAAGGGGTCATATGATGCCTTTTTAAAGATCATTATTTTGTGTATTTGGTGTAACAGAATATGTTGACATGCTTTAATGTTCAAAAAACACATTATTTTTCAAATACTGTACATTATTGTAGGTCCTCTATGCCCCGCCTCTCTCAAACGCTTAGTTTTCTACAAAGTCCCTCCTTCCGACAAGCGCAGTCTGCTCTGCAAGCACTCGTCGGAAATGTAACGCCCCTTACCATAATCGCGAGCTTCATCTTTCACAATAAATGTAAAGACAGAGCCCGAAAGGGGAACCGTTTTAGGGGGGCGTGGCAGAGTCTTAACTTTGATAAAGAATATCTCTTTGGTTTTGAGACTTTAGTCTTTGCAACTTCAGGGATCTTATCTATGCACAATCAGCTTGTAACACTCCAAAGAGAAAGGAAAACTTGAAATCGCATCATATGACCCCTTTAAGCAATGTTTCTCCGCAAGTAACTTGCGGTTTTATATTTCGAGCGCTAGAGGGCCACATTACATAAACCGATAGAGGGTTTATGATGTTACATAAATTTGTGCGTAAATATGGCATGTTGTGCCAGCACAGGTGTAGCCTACATATGGCGGTTGTTTTACATCAACATGAAATTTATATTTGAATTTCAGTTTATTTAACATGCTATGGTTGGTACAAAATTAAAACGTCTGTAAGACTACAGGGGAAAATACTGTTTTCCAACATAGCTAACTGTAAAAACAATAGATAAACACACTCTTTTTACCTGCAGCATTTTGAGAGCAGAAAAAAGAGTGGTATTACCTCAGGATTTTTTCATAACTTTCAAGATACTTCATATTTTTCATATTTCATGTTAGTTATGGTAATATGAAACATAATGCAAATATTCAAGTTAAAGGCTCCTATGACAAAATGATGACTATTAACAAAACAGTAAATATTTAAATTGAGTGGAAATGTCATAGATAAAGTTGGCTACTGTTTTTTAGCCTATTTCCTGTAATTCATTTTTTTTATTTACACATGAGGTTTTTTAATGGTGTTTCTTGTGTGTGTGTGACCTCCTGATTTAGAGAATTATGGATTCATACTTCTGGATGGACAAATCTGGGTGCCAGCCTTGGCACACATATGCAGTAGTTCCTATTCTATAGAGAGAGAGAGTGAGGTTCATGTAGCACTCTCCCATGAAGAAAGCATGTTACTGTAATTAGACAGCGGATGAGTTTGGCGCAAGGATAATTTCCCCCCAAACCCTTTCATCTTCCTGTTCTCTCCCCCACCTAATTTTACATAATAGTAAGACATGGCAGGCATTAAATCCCTCCTTAAGTCATGACATGGCCTCTATATGTGTGTTTAATGAGTATGTATGTGCTGAAAATGGAGGTCTTTTGTTCGTTTTAGAATCTGGGAAATTTCTGAGCGCTGTGAACCATTTATCTACTATTTTGTGAGTAGGAAAATGGACACTCTTTCGTGCCATTGCTTCAGTCAGTAGTATCTCTGTTATCTCAGAAAGCACACTGGGTTGAAAACTCATCGTTCTTGTGGGGGTAAAATTCGACTAGTGTGTGAAATGGGAAAAGAGGAACTAGCGTCCGCCTCCCCGAGCCATTAAACCAGGACAGGGCTCAGAGAAAGGGAACTGGGAGCTATAGGGGTCTCACAAATTCCTGCATTTACACAATGTAAACGACTACATAAGGCCGTGTCAGGGCCATTATACCCAAGACATCGCATTTGATTGGATTGTGAAAAGTGCCTGTGATATTGGTTAATTTGAAAAAAATGATGAAAACGAAAAATTATGAAAACTTTTATTCTTTACAATAACATGAACTGCTGAATCACTTTAAAAGTCAGTTTTCAGTTTATGAAAACAAACACCTCTCTTCTTTAAAATAATATGCGATTATGAATCATTTGCAATAAGACCAGAAACATAATGATTTGTGATGTGATTAAAAAAATGTAATTAACTGGAATCTTCCTAGGCTCCAAGACTGGAAACGTTATAAAAGTAAATGCAATGAATTTAGATTTTTATGTGATTCAAAATAACTTAATATAAAACCAGTTTTAAACCAAATAACACTGGTATTTAAAAAGAAAAAGAAATAAAATTGCTGCTCATATATATATATATATATATATATATATATTATTTATAATTTTTATGTATTTTAAAAATTTCTAAAATATATTTTTACAATTATTTTAAATAAATGTATATTTTTTTATGTTTTAATATATGTATATTCATATACATTCATCCAGTTTATTTGTTAAATATTTGATTTAAAATATTTGCTCATATTATTCTCTGAAATGAGAGTTTTATGATAACACTTCCTGTTGTCGTGACCTCACGGCCGGCGCTTGACATGAGCCGAGAGATAAACATTAATCATGACATCACTTTCTCAAGCTGCCACCGTTTTGACTGCTGTATGGAGGTTTCAGACTTGAGAAAATGACATAAGCTAGCAAAGCACAATGAAAAGAAAAGCATGTGTGTGTGTTTCGTTGTGTGTGTGCTGTCGGAGGGGGTGGTGGTGTTACACTACACCAGTGTTGTATGCGATATGCTGGATTAGAGTGGACAAAAGTATGCAAATATTGTTTCTCAGTTCTTACAGGCTTTGTGAGACAGTTTGACAGAGAGTAAAAGAAGACGAGATGCATGTGAGGTTTTGTTGCCATCTGTGATGCTAACCTTGGGAAACTGTACCCTAATTAGCATAAGGATAATTGATACATTAAATTAGTCTTACAATGTCAGGGTTGTGTAGGAGAGAAGTACAGACACACACAAAGGATTTAGAAGAATAACAGAGAAATAAAACACAAATTGATGTATGATCACTTAAATACATACATCAAAAAGGCTATAAAACAACCAGTGAAACTGACCAAAACACACTAAATCTATTTTTAATTTAAAAATAAGAGAAATCAAGAATATTTATATATTAATACATTTTGTTCATTATCAGGGCTATTATAGTTAACTAAAACTAAAATTAAAACCATTAAAAAAAACGTTTTGTTACCTGAAATGTTAACTGAAATAAAATTAAATATAATTTTTAAACCATTTCTCATTTATTTACTTGAACTTGATGTACTAAAATAACTCAAACTTAAAACAAAAACTACTAAAAAGGACTAAAACACAGCCAAATTAAAGTTCAAATGAAAATATAAAATATAAAAATAAAAACTGATTCAAAATATTAATAAAAACTATAATAGTATCTCAATGATACTTAACTAACACTGTTCATTATTAAGGGTGAATTTATATAATCATTTATTTAACAAATGATATAATCTCACTGCAACTATACAATGAATGTTTTGACTTTTATAAAATTTCCTCAAATCTCACTTCTTCCAAATTAAGACTATTAATAGGAATAAACATTGCAGATATGTCTCTAGAAAGATAACGTAAAAACGTTTTTTTTGTTAAGTTATGCGTCAGACAAGTATGCAATGATCCGAGAAGAATCAAGAGGTCATAAGCACTTCATATTCATAACATTTAAGAGATATTTGTGACTCAACTGCATCAAATACATTTGTGTATTTTGCTCTTGGGAACACACCCACACACACACACGTCTCACTCACTGAAAGGATGGTGGTGGTTAGGTGTGAAATCACGATGTGTTAACAAGACTGACTCCTTCTGTGAGCACACACACTCTCAGATTCATAACCCTTAAAATAGCATTTGTACCTGTAAAAGCTTCTCATGTTGGCTTGGGCTAAGCAATATATTTCTCCGTCGCAGTCCAGAGGCGTTTCATACACCTGACAGAGCACAGGGTCCGCTGAACTGAAAAAGCACAATACATTGATACATTTACATCCTGACCGTAATTAAAGTAAGAATTAAAAGCGATCGCTTTCCCTCATCATGATCAATGATGGTTTAATTTCACTCAGAAATGAATATTTCCGCATCTCATTCCCACGTCTAATATAATGGGTGAACATAGTAAGTTCACCATAGCCAAAGGCCAAATGGACACAATTTTTCAGAATAGAAAAAAATAAGACTAATGCAAAGGAATAGTACTAGAAAATGAGTTTCTGCTGATCTGCCAAGCTCATATTTGTCATATGTGGAAGTGGATAGCAGTACATCAGGAATTCAGTTTCCTCTTCCAAATTTCCTCCTGAACTAATCACCAAGTGTTCATTAATTACACGGCACTCAGTGGATTTAACCTCATACAGTCTTTATCTAGAGCCACCACGTGCAGACAAATGTCAACAAAAATCTAATAGCGTGCATGTACTTTGACTCTGTTTGTATGTTGTATGTTATATTTATAGTGCATTATTTTTTGTCTTTTTAGGATCGGCAGGCAAATGAAGGATGCTAAAGGAATCATGGGAAGGATATGATCTGGATACTTTCATATCACATCAGTGATGGTGAAAGTAACATCAATCATAGTTCACAGATCATCATACGAAGATGGCGAAGATGGTTCAATCAAAGGGTAAAATATATCATATAAATAAAATTTCCCTATATAAATGTATGTATGTATATACAAAGAAGCTGGCTGTTCACAGAGTGCTATATCCAAGCATGTTAACAGAAAGTTGAGTGGAAGGAAAAAGTGTGGAAGAAAAAGATGCACAACCAACCGAGAGAACCGCAGCCTTAAGTGGATTGTCAAGCAAAATCGATACAAGAATTTTCAAATAAAAGAACCAAAGACTTAAACTACTTCAGTCTGTGTGCACTGAATTTATTTAATACACAAGTTTCACAATTTGAGTTGAATTACTGAAATGAACTTTTCCACGACATTCTAATTTATTGAGATGCACCTGTATATCACACAAAGAGTACCGTTTTCTGCAGATATTAGCATGAACTTATTTAATAATCATTTTATTCAAGTTGCAATAATATTGCTTGTTTTTGCTCAATATTGCAAACGAATATAGTTCCAAACAAAGATCACAGCACTGTTTTGCATCTCTGAGCAAAGGACGGTGTTTACTTATTGAATAAATCAGCTTTTTGAACGAATTGGTTGAATAAATGATTCAGTGATTCACTCATTAACACAGTCAAATGCTTTGTTTCTGAATGAATCAGTCGTTTGAATGAATCGGTTGAATTTCAGTGACTCACTCATTAACAGTCACTTGCTGCAACCTACTGGCGGTTTTAATTTCACATTTCGACTGTTTTCTTATGTTTTAAAATCATTTCAAATAACAGTATTCAACGGTTTCCAGAAATGTTTTCTTATGTTGGAATGAAAGACACTAAGTACAGGATGAAGTGCTTCTTATTCTTTCCCAAAAATGCAAAATGGAAGAAAGAGTTAAAACTGAACACAATCTTGCTACTCAAGCTTGCTTATTTGCTTCTTTTCCATTTTGCATTTACTTGTACTTTTAGTTTCAATACTTAAGTACGTTTAAGATTTAAAAAATACTTTTCGTACTTAAGTACAATAAATATCACATACTTTAAGACTTTTACTCAAGTAATATTCTAAACGGTGACTTCAACTTCTACCAAAGTCATTTTCTGGTAAGAGATCTGTACTTTTACTTGAGTATGGCTTTCAGGTACTTTATACACCACTGATCAATTGTCACATCCTGGCAAAACCAAAGAAAAATGCAGCTGAAACCACACCAACAAACCTTGATTTGATACCTGCTATGCTATAAAGTCACTATAAATATAGTAGAAGGTGTCATACTCATTCTAGAGAGCATTTTATTGGGAAAAAGAAATGTGTATATGCCCCTACAGACAAGACATTTTCCCTAAAGAGAAAGTAAATATGCATGTCAGCTACAAGTTTACTTAATCAACTCTTAGAAGTACGCTAGCATATTGCCTCAAAAAAGGCTTGGACCAAACTGTAATTCTGATTTCACAGGGTCTTAAAAGATTTAAATAAACACATTTGCTATTTAAAATACATAAATGAGAGTTTCGACATGAAGGCGCGTATATTAACTTTTTTAAAAAGAGGAATAAAAAGGATATGATTTCTATGCTAAATTGTCAAGAGTATATAATTTATCTAAACAAAAACTACAACACCTTTCAGATTTTCCCATGAGTTATGGGGGAAGCTAAACTATGGCTTAACATATCCAGAGAACATTAAAGTTGGACATCTCAATGGACAGTGGGTGGGACGGGCTGTCTGCTTGTGTGCAGAGCGGTTTCACGTGCGGTGCTGGTTATGATGCTTCTTACGTCTGTTTCGGAGAACCAGATGACAAATATTTCAATCGATCTCTCAGGCATGGCACCGAAATCTGCGTTTTGATTCGGTTCTAGTACATACCGGTTACATAGGTACCGGTGCCATATTGGAAAAGGGGTTTGGTACCCAACCCTAGAGATTAATTCTGTGAAAAAATCCGAATTGCAAAAATAGAAAAAAATTAAATTGCATGATGTCAACTTAAGGCTGGAATACACTATATGACTTTTAAAATCTGAACAGATTTTAAAACACTGGGCAACATACATTTGTAATAGTCACAGAGGAAAAACTGGCCATCATACACTAAACGATTGAGGATCACACACTACCAGACTTTAAAGTTGTTCCGATCAAAACAAACTCACGCAGAAACATGCGACTTGTTGCTAGGAGATGCGTGACAAATGAAAACAGAATGTGTTCTAAAATTAATGTGTTCAAACATGTTTGATAATCGTATAATCATAGTCTGAAGCTAAAAAATTAGAGCCTGTGACCATAATACACTTCTTGATTTTAGAATTAAGTTTGTAAAGATGTAAAACTCGGAATTGTAAGAAGAAAAAAAATCTAAATTTCAGAAAAAAATGTCAAAATTCAGAAATTATATCTCACAATTCTAAGTTTATATTTCAGAAAAACAGGTTTCCATATAAAAAAGATACATTCATGACAAACTGTTGAAAAGTGGTGAATCTTTCACTTCTGACACTGTTAGGTGATGATTTCTGTTCAAACTAACAGATTTCATTGTTTTCTCTGTTATATTAAGGTCACATTAAAATGGTCTAGGAACATTTTTGCCTCCATCATTTAATTTTCCTTCTTTTCAAGTGCATTTTATATATAGATTTGATTGTTTTACTCTAGTCCCACAACAAGTTTGTCAATAGATTCAGTAAATCCATCAAAAAATGTTAAAACTATTTTTAATAATCTTTACAAATAGTGAAATCATCATAAATCATAAAAAAAAAAAATTACGAATTCTCGGTTGTGATACTGTTTCCATCACTGTCAACCGTTTTACTGCTAATAAAGTTTTTTCAGAAGTTCAAACTTGGATATCAAGTAACAACAATGTCACTGAGCAGCATGCTTGAGATCAAAATCAAGGTAAATATAACTTGTCATATTCTATTCAAGCTGCGGTTTTGCCAAATTATGCAAAAATAATGAACATATTGTTTAATTGTGTGCATTTAGGATGCACAAAATGCTAGCCATGAAATTAGCCTTAGGTGCATTTCCACCACAAAATACAATTAAACACAAAACATAATTGAGATATGGTCGAAATATTTATTGCAAAATTACAAAAATTACATATTTCTCCTGTGGTGCATATATAGCCCACAAACACACACAGACACACAGCTGGACATTGTTAGTAGACAAAATAAACTATTAAGAGAATGAAAAGTCTGTCCAGTGCCCATAGTTGAAGAAACACACATACATTATGGTTATATAATTTGTTTTAAGAGCAAATAGATGTAATTTTAATGCTGAATGTTCAAGGATTCTCAGTCCACTAGGAACTGTTTTGCGTCCTCTGGGAACCATAGAGCCGCTCCACAATACAAGTAAATGATGGGTCAACCATTGTTTAAATCCAGGTCAACATGACTCGCCCTCATAGGTCACATTCAGTGATAATCAATGACCCTCTATGATGCTCAGTGGATTATTTCTCTCTTGGGTCTCATTTGTGAGACATTAATTGATAGCAGAAGGTGGACGTCAGTGTCAGCTGGATCAAGTCTAGGAGCGGGACATCCACTATATGGCAAACAATTCAGTCTGAAATTTTTGTCATTTTTAGAATAGGTATACCTTGTAAGGGATATAATAAGATACTGAAACTTTGCACTGTTAAAGGAATAGCTCTTCCAAATATGAAAATTTGCTTAAGATTTACTCACCTTAGGCCATCCAAGATGTAGATGATTTTGTTTTTTTCTCGGAACAGATTTGGAGAAATGTCGCATTACATCACTTGTTCACCAATGGATCCTCTGATGTGAATGGGTGCCGTCAGAATGAGTCCAAACAAAAAAAAAAAATCCTGGCTAAAAGACGAGTCCTTGATCTATAACATTGCTTTCTCCATTGAAAAAGTCATCTCGTCTGAATCAGGAGAGAAATATGCACAGATCATGCACAGTTTAGAAGTAAAAACAGTCCAAAAAATATGTCAGTGGATTTTGATGTGAGAGGACAACAGGGGATGGATTATGGACTTGTATTTTGGCTGGTTTAAATTGAAAACATCTTAATGATGTATTTGTTTCTTACAAACTTTCGCTTCACAAGACATTAATTGATGGACTGCTGTGGATTATTTGTGGATTATTGTGATGTTTATATCAGCTGTTTGGACTCTCATTCTGACGGCACCCATTCACTGCAGATGATCCATTGCTGAGCAAATAATGTAATGCTAAATTTCTCTAAATCTGTTTTGATGAAGAAAAAACTCATTTACATCTTGGATGGCCTGAGGTTGAGTACATTTTTAGCAAATTTTCTATTTTGGGTGAACTGTTCCTTTAATTTTGTATCATACATTTGGTTAGAAAAATTATTTAAACCAGTAGGCCAGTGCCATTTTTGATGTAGTTGGTGGAAGTAATTTTAATATATAACAAATAAAACTAAATATCTTATAAATTATAATCTTAGTTTGTCCTAGTCGTTAGCTCTCAAAATAGATGGGATGTGAGTTACCCCCTATTTCTTCTTACTTTCTCCTCTCTCTCTTTTTTGGGATAATTGCCAGAGAAAATTGTGCAGCAATTTCAGATTTATGTAGCACTTTGAATACACCCCCCCCCTCAAGTCTGATTGGTATCCAACCGCCTGTTACCATGGTAATGACAAGATCATTTTCCTGTAGCTCTTTGTGAGGTGGCCTTTCTCAGATGACAGGTTAAGCAGACGTGCTTGACCTGTGGGGGCAGATCTATTGCCACCCTTACATTATTTTATCTCGCCAAGGAGACAAAATAAGGAGAACAAAATTACATCAAAAGTTAAAGAATTTATTCATGATTCTGATTAAACAAGCAGTGAGGCTTCCTCTTAGATGTAGCAGTACCATGGTACAGTAATGGCATACATACATACATATATATATATATATATATATACATACTGTTATTTTATTCAAAGGTAATTCAAAGAATAAAACCAGAATGAGCTTTATTCGCCAATTGGAATTTGTAATTTTTTTAGGAGCTCTTGGTACATAAATAAAAACA